ATGCAATTTCAAGTCATGGATATAGCTCACTAGCAGCCTCGCACCGATGACTTATCGATGTCATCATTTACCCAGAATGCTTTGTGTGGAAATAAAATGGCTCCGTCCGTGTTAAAATATATTTTTAAACTTTTAGTTTAAAAATGATAAAAACTGAACATCCTACAGTATTTTTAGTCTTTATTTTACAGTTAAAATATATGTTTATCAAATAAAGTCTAATGTTACAACTAATCAGGGATCCCTTTAACAGTTTTACAGTAAGACCAGCACGATCCGGTCCTTTCTGACACAGGAGGTCTCACTTTAGGACATTAAAACAACTGAGGAGGAATTTAGTTTTGTTCATTTCTGAGTTTCAAGAGTAAAGTTGTAAATATTGGACAAAAGTTCAATGTAAAGAAGAGCTGAGTGCTACAGCAGCCAGATGTGTTTTAGTAACTTTAAACTTCAGCCTCTGCAGCTGGACACAGGCTGTAAACACCAGCCCTGACCAGAGGCTCTGCACAACAGCCTGAATGATGGGACATGCTTGAGACTCTTATTGTGAAGGACTGAAGGAAGTTCTGAGTTCTGCTGAGGCAGGAATAAACCACTCAGCTGGTTAGAGAAAATGTTTCCTGCAGATATTTTGTAGTTTATCCAAAAAAAGTGTAGCTTTAAATCTTACTAAGAGTAAAAATAAAAGAAACAAATGTGTTCAGGACTGAGAGCACACAGGTGTTCATTTGTTTTGGCTCTTCTTTGGAAGATTTCTCAACATGTTGACTTCAGTTCAAAACTCTGAAACAAAAAAGTTTTCCTCCATTTTTTTCTTTGGAGTTGCTCAAACGCACCATCATAACAGAACACATCAGTTTGAATGTGATGGAAGCTAAACAACCAGGCTCATCCTACGAGCTTAGAGAACCAAGAATAAAACAAACCTTTCTGAAATAAGCTTTAAACAAGGATACATCATTTTAATCTGTTTAAAAAGAGTCAGTTATTTTACCTTCACTTCATCCTAACATCAACTTAGAACCACACTTTAATTTTTTATAGGATCTGAAGATAAACAGCCTTATTTTGGTGACGCTTCACACTGACGTCATTTTAACAACATTTAAAAGGTAAAACTAAGAGATTGGTTTGAAATATGTGCATCTTTTTTATGTTGGAAGAAAACTTAAAAAAACTATGGGTCAAAAACAAAATATATACTAGAAGGGTATTAATACCCCCCCACCCCCGCTAGATCTGAGGACTTATTGTTTGCCCAGAATTAACCAAAATATTTTATTCAAAGTAGTTTTCACTTCTCACTTGTTTCATCCCAGTTATAGTATAGTAAGGTATAGTATTTTAGTAATATGGTCTAGTATTTTAGTAGTAAGGTATAGTATTTTAGTAATATGGTATAGTATTTTAGTCGTAAGGTATAGTATTTTAGTAATATGCTATAGTATTTTAGTAGTAAGGTATAGTATTTTAGTACAATTTATAGTATTTTTGATATTATAGTTATCCTATATGGTTGTTCTGTTTAAACTGTTTGTGTTGAATACAAATATTGTAGTAAATCTTACTTTTACAGGCTGTATTAGCAGCCTGTTTGTCCAACTGATACCCAATAAAAATAATGTGTTTTTTCCAAACAGGAAGTCCTGTTCAAGCCGTCTTATTGGAAGGCCATGTTCCAGTGTCTCTGCAGCCTCCATCAGGGACAGGTGTTCTGACTCAAACTAACCTGCAACATTAATCAGCCTTGGTTCTGTGTGGCAGAGTGGAGCACATTAAGTGTGCATCATTTGGCTCTAGAGTTGAACAGCAGATGTTGGTTTGAGCTCTGCAGCTTTTGAGGAAGTGCTTCTCTGCTGACAGGACGCAAACCGTCCGGCTCCTCGAACAGCAGGACTAGCAGCCGATAGTTTTTGAGCGGTTATAACGGAACAATGTGCAGCTGTGAGCTTTAAATCACAACGTGATCACTGGTGCCGAGTGCCCGTCTATTCACAGGCGAAGTAGTCTTTGAGTGGTGCGAACAGATGCCTGATAACAGGGACGCTCCAGGACCGGCCCAGGAGTCTCTGTCTGGCACCTCGACCCATGTTGGACACGTCAGTGTAGTGGACAGGGAAACCAAAGATTCTGATGAGAGAGAGAGAGAAAAAACACTTTTAAAAGACTTTTTTAAACTATTCAATTTAACATTTCAACTAAGTAAAAGCAGAAACAACAGTTAGCACATTTTCAAAATAAAAGACCAAATCAGTGGTGGGCACCAGCCCGCTAAAGCACAAATCCGCTAATTGCGGACCTAAATATTTTGTTTGCGCTTTAGCGGACTTACTAATTTTTATAATTCATAAGTGGATTTGTGCTTTCTAAAATTAAAATGCAGTACCGCTAATAACTAATTATCTACCAGTCATCATGTTGAACAGCAGAAAGTATGACTGTCAATGAACCACAACACATGTGATCTATCCAACAGCACCCCTCCCAGATAAACACACTTATTGTGAAGGTATACATCCTGGCTGACTGTTGCTTTGGGTCACAGTTCTCATTTCCCACAATGCTTTGTGTCTGCTTACGTAGCAGGAAGGCAATAGCAAAAACAGTAAATGTTTGTAATCCATACTAAAATTTTGTATGTACTGATTTATTTTACTTTACAATCAGACCTCCTTTAAAAAAAAGTTTTAACGCTGGAGCTCAAAAGCAATCAGCCAACGGTGTTAAAGACTCAGAAATGATTTAAAGATGTTATGCTGGTGAAGACTGACATCTAGTGGTCAACTGGAGCAACTACATGGAAAATATCCTGATCCAGGTAGAAAAAAGAAAAAAATAAGTAGGTCCTATGGATGGGTTTAGGGCTGCCACAAACGATTATTTTTATAATCGATTAATCACCGATTATTTTTTTCGATTAGTCGACTAATCAGATCATACCTTAATTGAATATAAAACATAGAGCTTATTGTGCCAGAATGCAGCTGCTATTTTATAACCATGGTTAGATTTTAGCTATATGCTAACTAAAAATAATTGCTGTGGAAGGTAAGTTCTGCTCTGCAGATATTACACAGGTTTCTCTTTCATTTTCTTAAAATGATCCCACACTTTGAGCTCTGTTGTCAGGTAGCCATGATACCAGAGCCGAGGACAGAACCTATCCTATAACCAGACCTATAATATGTCCTCCATATACCAGAGCCTGTCTGTATAATGGCTGTGTCCAAAACGACAGGACGGGTCCTCCGGAGGACCC